ATTAATAATTATATTAATTTATTTAATACTATATACCAATAAATTATATATTAATTAATAATTTTTGAAACATTGTATTCGAGAAAATAAAAATGTGATTTTAATTAGTTTTGTAATGTACCCACCTATATGTAAAAAATAAATTAATATAATAATAACTGTTGAATTTTTAGGGACGCATTCGTGTACGTATTACACTATATTTATATATATACGATTATACGAATATATCATTATATTATTCATAAATCATAAGTGCTCACACGGGAGGATATGCAGACATGCAGTTGACCATTCGTGAACTTTTATGTGTACATGGTTATACGTCCCTACTTCCTATGATATAGATATTAGGTGAGCAATAGAAGTTGAGTAGGTATGTTCACTAAGTTAATAGTTACCTAAACTTATAACGTTGGATTTGAAAAAAAATGACCAGTTATAAATTAAAATTGTATTTTATGACTATTATCAGTTAAAACATATATTTCTATAAATTAAACCAAAACATATGTCTTTTTCAAGTAAACAATTTTCATATTCACCTAGTAATTACAATTATTCTACGACCGGGGACTGGAAAAACAATTTATAAAATATGCGTCTACAATAACACATTTTTCGTGACATTAAATATTTATCTTAATTCTTAAAAGTAAATTTAAGCCCCAAAAGAATATGAAAACAAATTTACTTTAAACATCGATTCTTTCGGCGGAATTCACGCGTGTGTTCACTGCGATGCTGACGAGGAAAATATCCATAATATCCATAATAACATTAAATATGATATATTATTTTCGTTTCTTAATTTAATTATTTAATAATATGGTGAATATATATCATAATTACAAGCATATTTTTATAAAAGCATAATATTGTTTTTTAAAAATCATTAATATATTAAATGAAAATGTGATTCCTGGATATTAGAGTTAACATAAAGATAATATACAGTAGGTACCTAAGTACATCAAATTTACAGTACCTACCATAATACCAACTAGATTTGTAAAATTCCAAGTCTAACATTTTCTATGAATACTGCTGATCACAAAATTGTTAATTATTATTTAATATTATGTTAATTTAATTGTATATCGGGTAGGTACCTATAATTTATATTTTAGATTCTGAGCGGAGCGATGAATATTTTGATTTTACTATGATGTATACCTATATTTAATTTCTTATTTTTTTGTTATTGTTTATTTTTAAGTTTCTTTGTATTTAGTAAATAATAATATAGGAAAATGTATTTTCGAATAATAATTGTATGTTTGTATTAAATACTTTCACCATAATAGGGACCTAAAATTGTCATTTATCGTTAAAACAACAAATTTTGTGAAAAATTCAATTTCGGAAGGTAAGCGTGTTTTGTGTAGGCATAATAAATGTAACATTAAAATTTAAAAAATTCAAAGAATTACATTAATTGGACTATAAATTATAATATAGGTACTACAGTTTCCAGCTTCTACTACAGCATTACGTTATATTATGTTTTTAATTATTAAAATGCCTAAAAATAATAATGCTAAAAATAAAATTATCCCAAAATAATATGAAAACAAACTTACGCTGAAACATCGACTCTTCCGGTGAAACCTAGCTAGAGTTCATCATCAACAATGCAAACGTCGAGTACGTGACGCCACCGAAGAAACAGCTACCTATCTTCATCTCGTTCCGAACTGTAACTTGGAATTATCGAAATCTTTTATGAAAATTACCTGAACATAACGAAATGTGCGAATTCGTGTTAAAACTAACATTATAATATATACGGCTTAACGAACTATCCGTCTATATTGATGGCTTATTATTTTTTTTTCACTAAAATTATTACCAATTATAATAAATAATAAATAAATTTATATAATATTATTATATAATTTTATAACAATTATTTATAAATTACAATATAAATGTAAAATGTAAAGAAAAAATTGAAATTAAAGAGAGACTGTGTGAAGTAACAAAATATGTGGTGTGACTTGTACATTTGAACACTTGTTATAATGTATTATATTAAACTTTAGTTAATTTTTAATAATGTACTATAATAAACATTTGAACAATTATTACAATAAAAGTATTTTATAGGGAAACCTGGGTAAGACGAGGACTAGAGGTAAGATAATGTAATAGATAAAGTAATTATCTACCTATATATTTTTAATATGGTGTGATATTATGTCAAATGTCAATATTTGAATATTGTAACAAGAGGTAAGTACGAAGTACTAACTATTATTAATAGAATACCTATTAATATTAGCCATTTTCTAATATAGGTACTTCAATATTTCAAGCATTGAAGCTGTACAATATTATGGACCGTTTTGTTACGAAAAAAATTCGTCTAGATTTGGCAGGGGTGGAAACTGGAGAAAATGTTGACGACCCACATTGAACAACTAACCAAGCTCCTCTTGAAGCCCCTAGTTTTAAATACTTGTTTAATGATTTTTTAAAGTATTAAACGTGGAAGGTAAAAAATTGTCAGTTATATTTCAAAACTGCCAAAAAGTTGTAAATGGATCAACTAATTCAAGTGGAAACTTTTTAAGCCACATTAAAGTAAGTTTTTGTATTTATTACTACATTTATACATTGTTATTTTAGGATTATTATAGATTTTATTAGTTAATTATCACAGTTCTTAATATTTTTTTTTTGCATTCAACACAATGTATCAAATGTAGCTATATATAATATGTATTTTATACATATAGTATATAATATAGTATAGTATATAGTACTATAGTAGGTGGTACCGCTAAATTCTCACCGGCCCCCCTGCAATTACATGTGAATGGGCTGTGTACTGTGAGCTGAAATAGGCTAAATTATGAGTTATAGAAATAATTGTGCCAATTTTGAATTTATTGAGTTCTGCATTTTAATAATCAAAATAAATTATAATAACAACTATCATTTTAAATCATATTTTGATAGTAGGTTAACACGTTGGACAAAAATTAAAAAATACCTATGAATATTATTTAATTTACTTTTATGATTTTGTAGTTACTATAATAATATTGTAATATATCTACTGGCTAGTGCAGGCCACTACCTATATTATGCTATAAATTATAATATACACTGCATACCTAAAATATTGCGTTTTTTTTTTACTTATCGATCAATAATTCGCCTCATCAACAAAATATGTTACTACCTAGTGTATATAAAAGTGTGTGTGTGTGTTTTTTTTATTTCAATTTTTATTTCTATCTTTAGTTTATAGAGTTCTGAATGTTTTAACTAATCGCATTGTGTACACAACAGGAATCATCGTCATAATTCACAGCGTATGCGGATACGATCGTCCGACCACTTGTGGATCGATGGCCGGGTCAGCGCAGTACCTAATTTTACGTAAACTGCACAATGTGATGTACTATGGTGTTTTTTCAACAACATCGAAAACAATAGTTTTTATTATTATTATTTTAGACTCTTAGCCGGGAGATGAACTTATTTATTTTACAATAATGTGTGCAATGTGCATATATGGTGCATGACAATATTTTGCAATTATACTTTCGCGAGGACAAAACGTTCAATATAATATTGTTTTGAGGTTTGGTATCCAAAAAGTTATTGGTTAATATTCATCATAGGTCCCACATGACCACGATCATGTTCATCAATCATTTTTCTGTTGTAATAAATAAAATCGTACCTACCGTTTAATACAAAAAATATAAAAACAACATTATACTGTATAAAAAATATAATTTTATTACTGGATAATTTATAGATAATATAACAATTTTATTATATAAATTATAATAATAATTTGAATACAGTAATAAATAATATCAAGTATAAAAATAATATCATTTTTAAAATTTAAACACCGTGGTTTATAATTTTGAAAAAAAAAAACAAAAAACAAGAGGTGTGAGATAAATGATAATTCAATAATATTATAAATGATATATAATCAACGAGTGCTTTAAAATTTTGAAACATTTATGCCGAAAATAATTAATAAGTAATATAAAGAAAAATAGGAAAAATGCTCGCAATGTGTTAAAAAAATATAAACAATAATATTAACAACAAAAAGGTGCTGAACGTGGCAAAAAAACTGGAATAATAATATTAAAAAAAAATGAAAATGTGCTCAATGTGGCAGAATAAATTTCAGTAAATAGGGATATTAACACAAATTAAAAGGTGCTCAAAGTGGCAAAAAACATGAATAATAATATTAACAAAAATTAAAATGTAAAAAAATATAAAAGGTGATCAAAAGTGGCAGAATAAATTACAATCAATTATAAGAAAAAAAAAAGACATCAGTCAAGATGAGGCGAAGTGGGGGGTACGTGATGGCGAGTGGGTGGTGCAGAAGATGGTCACCTCCACAACGTTCTTGCGGCCGGTAATTCGTAGGGACAAGAGTCGCGGGCGGAACTCGACCACGACGGCTGCGAGAGCGACGATGACGGTCGGCGACGGTTGGCTAGTGCTCGATGACGTGCGCTATAGATATTGTGCTGCAGGTGCCGAAGACGACTGTGGCGACGGCAAAGACGGTCACCAAAGACGCTCGTCGGAGCGACGAAGGCTAAAATATTATTATTATACGGTCCCTAGCCACCGTATGATAATAATAATTAAAGTCGTCCGTCACTCGCCCGACTTGCGCTCTGCGGTTTCCGTCGACACCGTCGCGAGTCGTCTTCGCGGTGCAACGCTGCAGCAGTCGTACCGTAAGTGCAGGTACCACCGTTACAGCTAGTCAGCTGGTAGTGTCGTCGTCGTCGTCGCTCTCGGACCGAAGCGGCCAGGGCCCGCCACGCTTCCAGAGGGTCTCCGGACGTCCGCGATCCCGTGTCCCTGCCGCTGGTGGCCGGAGAACGTGTGTCGGTGACCTTCTGCCGATCACCCCGGAAGTGCACTTTCACGTACCTCATATACATCGCTTCGCCTTGACTGCTGCCCTCGACCGAGGTGTCAGGTTCGGACGACGCTTTTCAGAAACCCAGGCAAATTACTGCACGTCCGGCCCGTTTCACTCCTCTCCACGCGGCGGCCGCCAATCGCCTTACCCGCCCGCGTGAAGACACTGCAGCTTGTGTGGCCGGTTCGTCGATCTTCGCCCCATCCTCGGTCGGAGCTTCTTCGTCTAAGACGACCTCGAAGTCTCCACTGGTGGCCATCTTCTCCTCCTCCTCCTCCTCCTCCTCCTTCTCCTCCTCTTCCTCCTCGCACCGCAGTACAACGTTTCCGTCTCCGGGCTGTACGTGCGGCGCGGCGACCAACGTTTCCGACACAAGGTGCACCATTGCGTCGACCAACTGATCTACGATGGCGACCATCCGTCTGTCTCGGCATTCCACTTTAACGGTGACAGTTTCCAGTTGTGTATTATGGTGTCCAAATTCCATTGCCATGATGTCCCGGAGAACCGAGTGGACGGTCGACTCGATTTGGCTCAAGTCCGAAACCACTACCGCTATGATCTCTTCCATCACCTCCTCGACGACGGTGTCGACGTTTTCCAATGAGTTTTCCATAATTTTTGGAACGTAGTTGTTAGGTTTTTTTTGATTTTTTATGCGTACTTTACGCAAGGTATAGAAAAATTATTAGACAATAAGACAATATATAAATAAAATCATAAGTTGATCATTGTATATATTATTTATGTGAAAATTACTATAAAATTCGAGAGATGTTTCGTCGCGAAATATAAACTGATTCAAAATGTGTAATCGGTCGTACGCATAAACATCCAAACGAAAATCTCCATGACAACAAAATAATATTATATTGTTCAAAATTGAAAATATATTATACGGCCAATTTATTTCCAAAGACATTACATATTATGTACATTTCAACATATTATTCATGTAAACACGAATACTTGTATTGTAATGTAATAATTGAAATACCTCCCTTTACAATATAGCTTTATATACCTACCTTAATAAAACACCTTTATTGCACGTCACAATAATTTTTTTCTTATCCCAAGAAATAATTTTCATTCAAATCTTTGAGGATTTAAAATGATGTCATTAGTTTACTCTAATATGGAATTCAGACTTATAATTCGTTTATTGACACTCGATCGAGACAGCGAGTACCAGTCAGCTTGGAACATAGGTACTCAAGGCAATTTTCAAAATATTTATATTCATTCTATGCTATTTGCATACCACAAACCTATTCACACCGTATTCACCATAAATTGACTAGGTAAGCAATAATAACATCTAGTAATATAGTATAAAATAATATTATGATTTATAATCTATATAAATAAATGTATATAAATGAATTGCTGTTTGTTAGTTTCCCTAAAACTCGAGAACGGCCTGACCGATTTGGCTAATTTTGGTCTTGAATTATTTGAGGAAGTCCAGAGAAGGTTTATAAGGTGAATAAATATCAAAGTTTTATTATTTTTTACATTTTCTATATATATATAAATAAATGGAGCCTGAAAAATTGTCATTACCTCATCAATCGAGAACGGCTGCTCCGATTTGGCTCAAATGTTTGTAAGATGTTCGTAATCGCCAGTAGAAGGTTTTTAAGAAAGAACATCTTAAGAAAATCCACCGGAAAAGTAGGAAATCTGGATGTAAAAAATACAACAGTGGCGCAACAGTGACCAGTGTATTATATATTGGTTGCTATATGGTTAATCGGGCATGTTTGTTGATTTGTATTATTATTTTTTGTCAATATATAATATATATATATATGTATATATAAATTAATGTTTGTGTGTAGATAGACCTCTGGGAAGAAGACAGGCTATAATATAAATATTTAAACATGTTTCAATTTGGTTTTTTTTTATTCATCTGATATTAGTACGGTTAGGTTAGGATCTTGTATTAATTGATTATATTAATCCACCATAGGTTAGGTTAGGTTACAACAACTCGTAAAAAAAAATTACAAACATAAAAACTCTCCTAACCTGTTAGTATTTAATATTTTAATTTAATTTGCGATAAATTGTGTCAATTATAACCTATAATATTTGATTCGATAGTGCATGACAAATAACATAAATTACATTTTTTTTCTTAGCATTCCTATACGTAGGTACTTATAGTATACGACGTGCACATATTTAATAAAACAAAATTAAAAATATATTGACCGTTTATATGACGTATTACATATATATTTTATGTAGCAAATAGTATATTAATATATTTTTCGTAGAATTTTCGTATACATTGCCATGAGAAGCACATTTGCAGGGTCTCACTAATATTATAGTTTTATTAAATGATACCCAATATACTAATAATAGGTTAGGTTAGGTTCTCATTTATCGGTTTTTTATATCATTACATTTATGATTTTCATATTATGCATTATATTTTGACACTAATAGCTCATACCTTATTATATTATTATTTCTAAGACATATATAATTATATAATCAAACAACATCAGAAATATATTTAATTTTATATACCATGGCAATAGAAAATTATAAAATCATTGTAGGCAGTCATCAAACTCTAGTTGAGATCCAAAACTGAATGTCATTTGGCCCTCTACTAATTTAAAATTTAAAATAGATAGGTGTAGGTACATTAATGACATTTCAACAAAATAATTTGATTTTAAAATTGTTATAAATATTTTTAAAAAAATTTAACACAAATTACAGTAATTATTACATTTTTTTTCTTTAAACCGCAGTAGTTGTATTCTATAATTTAAAACGGTGAGTTCCTTTGCCTACCTATACATAAACGTTCAATATTTAACAACTACACCGCCGACCGCGCGTTAAAGTCACCGAGTCACACGCTCCGCGTTCTGTCAATATGTACTTATCCGACACTCGCGAGATCGCAAAAGTTTAAAATATTATTTTATTATATCGTGCATGGTGCATATATATAATATGACGTGCAACGTTATTTATGTCTGCCAATACACGTATAACGGGTATGAATATTATAATGTCGAATGTATATGTATTTTAAGCGTCATTCCGCGGCGCCCGTCTAATCGCGGGCGTACCTATATAATATGTATTTATTTACACGTCTTTTTGCACAAGGGATGTGTATAAAAACCTACCTAAATACTATGTATGATAATAATAATATGACGTTCGGTCCTCCGTCATGCAATAAGTCCCCGGAAGGCATTTGGCCCAGAGTACTGGTTCTACTAGGTACGATGGGCAGAATATAATAAGGACGATCGCAGTGATATATACAGCAATTACACGTAGCTGCAGGTATATACACCGGGGTCGAGGGCGCATGCTCGTTTTACCATTTACCTCGCACCGTACACAGCACAGCTTATAATAATTTGTATATTGTATAATATACTCGTCCACATAAAACATATCATTACTGAGGCCGAGCCTAATAGAATTAATTTATAACTAACCTAACCTAACCAACCTAACCTAACCTGGTGATTCAGCTCTCAAGCACCTCCCCAAATCCACCACCGGTAATTAGGCACTCCAGAAAACAGTCACGAGGTTATATTTACACCTTGCAGTGATGGTTTATTATGGCGTGATCTCAGCTAACTTCGAGTGTAAAATCCAAGTAGGTATACCGTATTATCACCTATATCATAGTTTTATGGATAACACTATTATATTATAGATCGGCATGCGTATAACCACATATAACCCACAGATATATAAAAATACTAGATAGACGACTCCCTATTCCTACTACGTAATAATTATGAAGCCGACAAAATGGCCGAAATACTCTTATCTAAGAGGTGAATGTTTACAAAATATAAATTATGATAAACTGTGATAATTTTATGACGGGAATCCAAAACTATTAAATATGGATTACAAATTACAATATCATTATACATACACTTACTAGTTACAACACGGTCTAAGATATACGATCGTATACTTATATTTTTAATTTTATAGTATATCTTAGTCCTTGACTTCAAAGATTAAAAGTATAATTTGTTGCAACAAACAAGAAATACAATATAGATATAATAAATAAGTTTCAAGCTCGTCCTTATTGGTTTATTACACATGCTTGAATTCTAATGATCTTATTTCATATTAAAAATGAACTAAAATGAAAATAAATATAACTTTATGTTACAACATAATAAAGTAAAACAAAAAAGATTTAATTTAATATTAAATATAAGAGAAAATATTATTAATATATACCTTATACTTAGTGAAATTATAAAAATTGGATAAATTAATATTATATTTATGTTATAACAAGCATCTTCTAATTATTAGACGTTGAGTTAAAAAATAAATGCCATTAAATGCTACAATTAAATTACAATTATTTTATGATCTTGTATTTATAACCATACAAAGGATGGGACTATTACTTGTATTAACTTTAAACATATGGTATAATACAATTTGTAGATCATAAGTTTTGACCAAAAGTTCAATCCTTCAACTCATGGTAAATTATATTAGTAAAATTCGATTTAGTTTTGTTAAGAATGATTTTGATTAATTAATTTATAGTTTAGGGTAAAACATTGTTGTGTATAGGAGTATGTAAAGCCACACATCGAAATAAAATACAAACATTAAATATAAAAAAATCTTAATTTAAAAATAATAAACCTATGTAATAATAAATTTGCATTCGATAATAATATTTTTAATACACTTCAATGTGATAATGTTCCTTTCCCCATAAGATGGTATTAATTTCAATATTAGTTAAAAAATATCTAAGTATTTGACTCCATTCTTTTGGCAAAATGTTTTCAACAGAAATTTTAAATCCTATTAGTAAAATAAAAATTAACAAATAATTTGTATGAACCAGTAGTAGGTATAAAATATTATATGCATTATAGACTATAGGTACCAGTTTTATTTTAAATATTTGTATTATTATTAAATTAATTAATACACTAGTTTTGTTTTATTTACTTGAAATATTTTATATTTATTACTTTACTATGTAGTACTAGTATAGATACAAGTTTGGTTTTATTGATTTTAAATATAGCATTTCAAAAATAATAAACGGATGTAAAATGTTTAATTAATTAATTCAGATTGTTATTAAAAATATTTTACAATAGCACAAATTTTTATAAAATAATGTAATATTCACATGCACCATTACGTAATTTACATAACTGTTGAATAAGCTAAAAGTTGATCATATGTATTTAAGACGTATGTAAGTAAGTTAAGTTATTAACATATTAACATCATGAACTACCTATACAACTTTAAAGTTTGAACTTATAATTTATAATATTAATCATATTATGACAAATTGATAACAATAATATCTTTATCAGTGTTATGAAAATGTAACATTCACCTCTTAGATAAGAGAATTTCGGCCATTTTGTTGGCTTCAAAAACATTTCCAAGTTGTCTATCTAGTATTTTTATATATCTGTGGTATAACGTTATTTGTAGGCGATTCTTCAATCACGAACCGGACAATATATATATATGTCTTAGAAAATAATATTGGACATTTTAGATTCTGAGCGGAGCGATGATTGTACTAATTTTACAATGATATTGCGT